CATCCTTTGTAGGAACCTGCATTAGAAGGTCCAGCCTGAGTGTATCTTCCTTCTTATCCTGAGGAGGGACCCTGAGACTTCATCACACACCAGGCAGGAGAGGGGCAGTGAATCTGTGCTCTTTAGTCATGCTCCAGCAGAGATGCAACCCAGCCCAGTAAGTCCTGAGGGAGACAGTGATTGATGAATGGAAGGAATTTGGGGAGCATGATTTTATGCAGAACATGGCAAACATGACAGTTGGGATAGACAGGTGGGAGGGCACCAGTGTACAAATTTCGGATTGGAGTCCTATGACACTTATGTTTTGGTGTGTGAGAACTCTGATTCAGAGTTCTGCTTTCACCATCACTAGTGTGCTTCCCACCAGAGCAGTAAATAGGTCTCTGTAAAGTTTCCCACTTCCCCACCCTGGTGGTTCAGAGGTCTGCCTGCAATGCGGGAAACCCAGGTTCGATCCCTGAGGAAGAACATGCCCTGGGGAAGGAAATGGCAATCCAGGACTCTTGCCTGGAAAATCCCATGGATGGAGAAGCCTGGTAGGCTACAGTCCATGGGTTGCAAAGAGTTGAACACAACCCAGTGACTTCACTTTCACTTTCAAAGTTCCCCGTGAGCACATCAAATAATTCTGCAAATGCTGATGAAGATGGTGAGGAGGATGACATTAACCATAATATCAGGTACTGTTACTTAAGACTTCATAAGTGTCGGGCTCTGAGGTATACGTTTTATGTGTCATTTTTTTTTTGCATCTACACCAAATTATGGTCTTTCCAGGTGGTGCTAGAGGTAAAGAACTTGCCTGCTAATGCAGGAGACATGAGAGACTTGGATTCGATCACTGGGTAGGAAAGATCCCCTGAGGGAGGTCATGGCAACCCACTCCAGTATTTTAGCCTGGAGAATTCCATGGACAGAGGATCCTGACCGGCTACAATCCATGGGGTCACAAAGAGTCAGATTCAATTGAAGTGACTTAGCACACAGGCATGCACAAAATTATAACTGCCTACATTATTATTAATAAGAGAAAAGAAGCACAACATTTTATGTCATATGTATCAGGTCATGAGTTAGAAAGCACTAAAGCCAAGTTGAAGCCAGTCATTCTGGAGAGAATGACTCAAGACACAGGGAATCTGAGCAGTCTTCCTCTTGCCACCCAGTCAGTTAGTCACTTCCCTGTGAGTCTGGGCAGAAACTCCCTGCTCACTGTGCCCTTCCCCCTGGAGTTTTCTGGAGGACACATTGGAGGTTACTAGGTAGCCCTTGTTGCATCAACTATAGGAAGGAGGTCTGAAATCACAGACTAAAGTCATAGAAATATTTGGCACCTGATACTTCAGGGTGGGCTTCCCTGGTGGCCCAGACAGTAAAGATCACCCTGCAGTGAGAGAGACCTGGGTTTGATCCCAGGGCAGGGAAGATCCCCTGGAAGAGGACATGGTAATCCACTCCAATATTCTTGCCGGGAGAACCCACAGGACAGAGGAGCCTGGTGGGCTACAGTCTATGGGGTTGCAAAGAGGCAGGCATGACTGAGTGGTGACTAAGCGCAGCACAGCACTTCAGCATAGATCTCTGTTGACTCTGTTCCTGGGTTTCAGTTCACCTGCCCACTTTCTCCTCTGTGCTTAAAATCAGTTTCCTCAATCATTAAAGGAGACACAGAATCAGAATCTTGTGGTCCGTTCCCACTCAGAAAAATGTAAACAGTTCAAAATAATGTATCCCAGATTATGTGTTGTTAAATCTCTGCCAAACATTTTCAGGAAGTCTGAAAAGAGTGAAGTTTAGGGTATTGGACTCAGAGAAGAAAAACTTAGTTTTGAATCCTCTATGCTGCACTCATTCTCAGTGTATTATGGGAAATTTTTTAGAATCTGTGAGATTTAGCAGTGTCAACTGAGCTGATTGTTCACAGACAGAAACCCACTGAAGTTGGACTAAATTAATAATAGTGCTTTGTGTAATAGTTGTATGATGGGCATATAAGAAGGGCAAAATATGGTTTTGATATTTTTTTTACTAATAATGACTATGCTAATTTTTATGTTATCAAATTTAAATATCTGTTGATCTGATGTCCTGATCCCTGACAGGACATTTTGTTTTTGTTTACACAAGTACATTCTTCATAGATGAAGAGAAATGACTTGGACTCATTAATTTTTGATTCCCCAGAGACTCTATCTTGTCGACACAGAGGCAGCAACAAGAATAAAATAAGTCCAGTTAAATTTTGTTTAAACCCTTCCATTTTTTCATAGAAACAAAGTGTGCACACAAGTTCATGACATTGGTGTATCATGAGAGGGAGGTGTATGCAGAGAGATGGATTTGAGCTGAGACATCAAGAGAAGTTAAATTTTCCTGTCAATCAGTCCTGATAGAGGGATTGTAATTCTTCTAATTCTGCTTTTTATGGGCAATTCAAATTCTTTATTTTGGCATTCAAACTATGACTTAATAGTGAAAAAAGAAGATTAGAATAACGCAAACACATCTGGACAGTTTTCTTATCTATGAAATTTTGATAGTAATTGAACCTACTGAATAGGACTATTGCAAGACAGTTTTTAAAAAATCATTAATATTGCTTAAACAAGTGGTTTTCCATTCCAGTTGATTGATTATTTACATGTGCTTACTTTAAAAATACTCACTTACTCCAGCCTCAACCTCAAATCAGGACTGATTGACAGGAAGATTTGTTACCTTGACAAAAGAAGGCTAGGTCCTGACTTGGGAGTGGGACCTTCCCTAGTGTTAACCTCCTCAACAGTAACTAAGAGGGTTTATGATCAGGAGAACAAGACCATTGGGTAAAAGGTGCTCAATATCAGGTAATATTAGGACATGCAAGACCAAATGTAAATCAAATATCACCTCACATCTGTTAGGATGGCTATTATATACAAAAAGACAACAAATATTGGGTAGGATGTGGAGTTTAAGGGAACACTTGTATTTGGTTGGTGGGAATGAATATTTGTACAGCTGTTACAGAAAATAGAATGGAGGTTCCTTAAGAAATTTAACACTGCAACAAATTGAAGTAGAACTACCTTAGGATCCAACAACCCTTCTTCAGGGTAGATGCCAAAGGAATGAAATCAGAACCTTAAAGAGATATCTGCATTCCCATGTCATGGCATTATTATTTTAAATGGTGAAAATATAGGTATGTGTCTGTTGACAGATGAATAAATAAAGAAAGCATGTTGTGTGCATGTAAACAATTAGATGTTACTCAGCCATAAAAACAAGGAAATCCTGCCATTTGTAAAAACAGGGATGGACCTGGAAAATAATATGCTTATTAAAAACCATATACCAGATGTAGAGAGTCAGATGCTGTATGATCTCATTTATGTGTGGAAGCTAAGAAAGTAAAAATCTTAGAATCGTGGATTAGAACTCTATTTGTGAGAACTGGTGGTGGAGAAACTTTCAGTTATGCAATGAATAAGTTCTGGGGATCTAAATACAGTCTGTTGATTATAGTTAATAATAATATACTATATTCTTGAAATCTGCTAAGAAAGATCTGCTTAACCATTACTACACACAGACACACACACACAGACACACAGACACACACACACAGACACACACAGACACACACAGACACACACAGACACACAGACACACACACACAGACACACAGACACACAGACACACAGACACACACACACACACAGACACACAGACACACACACACACAGACACACACACACACACAAATAGAAATTCTGTGAGGTGACAGACATGCTAATTAACTTGATTGTGGTAATCGTTCACAATGTTGATGCATATTAAATCATTTTGGACATCTTTTAAAATACTTCATTGCATAACCCAAATATATGCAATTTTGTCAAACTTCAAAAAACCAAAAAAAAAAAAAAAAGAAAGAAAAACAATGATGTAGTATTATCCCACCAGTACAGAATAGAGTCCAAAAATGTAAGTGGTATCACACATCAGATATTTTACTGAGACAGAATTGAAACAAATAACACCATATAAAAGAAAAGATTTCAAGAGACTTTCTTAACTTTCATTGTCATTTAATCATTAACAGTCCCCTGTAAACTAACACCATCTTGTAGTCACCAATACATTATGATTATGTGCACTTAATTAAACCATATTAACTGAAATTTGAAGTCCATCAATGGGGCCTCCCTTGTGGTTCAGCTGGTAAAGAATCCTCCTGCAATGTGGGAGACCTGGGTTCAATCCCTGGGTTGGGAAGATCCTCTGGAGAAGAGAAAGGCTACTCACTTCAGTATTCTAGCCTGGAGAATTTCATGGACTGTAGAGTCCATCAAAGGTAACAAGTATATACTAAATGGCCTTCAAAAGAAAACCTTGACATTTGAGTAATCACTTATTTCATGAAGGAGGGATGACAGAAAAATAAAGGATAAAACCCTGCATATCATATATAATGTGTTCTGATTATGAACATCCATTTTAAATTTAGAATCCAGATGACATAGTCATGTATTTTATAGAGATCTGTAGATATTCTAAATGAAAGAGTTATCTAGAATTGTATTTGAATAAAACAAGGTTTAATGGCTTCATTTCTTTAACTTGGAGTTTAATTTTTCTTAAAGGAGGAAGAGAATTTCTCATTCAGGCTAATGGAGAGAGTAGCATGGAAACATATACACTAAAAAAAGAAGGCTGTATTTTACTGAGATCCCGGAGGTATTACCTCTAATGTCCTCCTTCCCTTTCACTTTTCAGTGAAGTTTTATAAAGTAAGGGTATATCGACAGAGGTGAATAACACATAAACCAAGTAGGAAACAGTTCTAAACAGATAGAATTTGTCACACTGAGAAATATTGCTGAAGGTACTGGGGTATATGGTCTTAGAAATGAATTGCTTGAAACCAAAATATGGACACAGTGCTCAATGACCATTTACTTATATCCTATTTTTCAAGCCCTCTTTTCTTCTTTTCAAAGGTGTCCAAGCAGCACAGAGCTGGAAATCTAACAAGAGTCTCAGAATTCTTTCTCTTGGGCCTCTCAGATGATCCAGAACTACAGCCTTTGCTCTGTGTCCTGTTTCTGTCCATGTACCTGGTCACTGTGCTTGGGAACCTGCTCATCATCTTGGCTGTCACCTCTGACTCCCATCTCCACACCCCCATGTACTTCTTCCTCTCCAACCTGTCCTTGGTGGACATTGGTTTCATCTCCAGCACTGTCCCCAATATGATTGTGAGCATCCAGACTCACAGCAGAGTCATTTCCTATGTGGGCTGCCTGACACAGATGTCTGCTTTTACCCTTTTTGGTTGTTTGGATGATATGCTTCTGCTTGTGATGGCCTATGACAGGTTTGTGGCCATCTGTCAGCCACTGCACTACCAGCTCATCATGAACCCATGCCTGTGCTGCTCCTTAGTTTTGGTGTCCGCTTTTGTTAGCCTTTTGGAGTCCCAGGTGCACAATTGGATTATGTTACAAGTCTCCTGCTTCAAGGATGTAGAAATTTCTAATTTCTTCTGTGACCCTTCTCTACTCCTCAAGCTTGCCTGTTCTGACACTTTCACCAATAACATAGTCATGTATTTTGCTGGTGCCATCTTTGGATTTCTCCCTATCTCAGGTATCTTTTTCTCTTACTATAAAATTTTTTCCTCCATTCTGAGAGTCCCCTTATTAGGTGGGAGATATAAAGCCTTCTCCACCTGTGGTTCTCACTTGGTAGTTGTTTGCTTATATTATGGGACAGGCCTTGGTGTGTACCTCAGCTCAACTATCTCACAATCTCCCAGGAAGGATGCAGTGGCCTCGGTGGTGTACACTGTGGTCACCCCCATGCTGAACCCCTTCATCTACAGTCTCAGGAATAGAGACATCAAAAGGGCCACATTTAGGTTCCTCAGCAAAACAATCTAATCTCAGTACTTGTGTCTTTCATTTAGAATGTAGGTTAGAAAATACAAGAAAACTATGCATGTGGACCTCAAATTCTACCTCTCTTACCACCTTGCTTTTGTAGTTCTTCTAGCCTTCAACACTTCTCCTTGCTTAACACCTGAGTGTTGCTGAGTTTGATCTGTCTTTAATGAGACTGTGGGAGTATTCTGGGATCCTTTGTATAGCTTAATAAATGCAGGATTGAATATTATTTTACTGTGGTGATTGCTTCATTTTATTGTTAGCAGCCCAAGCATCCTGGTAAGATGAACAACTTTTTTTTACATATTTACAATTTACATTTTCCCCATAGTTCTTGTATATTTTCCATGTGTGTGCTCAGTTGCTCAGTTGTGTCTGACTTTTTGTGACCTCATGGATAGTAACCTGCCAGGCCCCTCTGTCCATGGAGTTTTCCAGGCAAGAATACTAAAGTGGGTTGCCATTTGCTCCTTCAGGGAATTTTCCCAACCCAGGGATCGAACCTGTGTCTCTTATGTTTTCTATATTTGCAGATGAATTCTTTACCACTAGCACCACCTAGAAAGCCCAAAAGCAATAGACAGAGGAGCCCAGTGGGTTACTGTCTAAACGGTTTCAAAGAGTTGGACACTACTGAGCCACTAAGCCCTTCCACTTCCATGAAAGAACAGAGGAGTTCTCATTGTTCTACATCCTCACCATTGCATTGATATTTGCCATATTAGCTTCTATTTATCAATTCTGCATATAGAGTTTATGTGGGAGGATACATATAATCTTCTCAGTCCTGGTTTTTATGAAAATCATCCAGGAAACATAAAAATACTGACAGTTGGGTCTCAACAACAGAGATTCTGATTTAACTGGACTTGGTTTTGCCCTGAGGATGAGGATTATTAAAAGCACCCAATGGTCCTGCTGAGAACTACTGATGTGAATCAATACTTTCATTCAAAGGTGACCTTTATGCCTTGGGTCCTAACTGCTCATGGACGAAGATGCTAAAGAGATCAGAGCTCAGTAGGGGACAATATGAAAAGCCAACTGGCAGTTTATTTCCCCCATTATTCCTGAAAATGATTTGCACATATGGTCTCTCTTCACACCATACAATTGGGTCTGTGTGCTGGTTGTGAAGCTATCATCTTTGCTCCAAACTCACATTTATATACTTCACTTTGGGGTGGAGCTCTAAAATCCCTACTCTATTTCCCATCTTGTGGTCATCTTATATACATTCAATCATGGTTAGTAAAATTCTCTTTACCCTAAATCCTCAACTTTATATCCCTCCTTTATATCCCTCAAGGCCTTGGAGTTGTAGCTACCTTCACTTTTATTTTTCTTTTTTACTCATTCATCAATCACTTATTTTTCCTCAATTGCTTTTTTGCAAAAACAACATCCACTCATTGTGACAAGCCAGTGATAGAGTTATAAAGAAAATCATCCTTTCCCTCCTTTCTCCAACCTCACTTGCTGGATTAATTGAGGATTGCACCCAGGATTTCTTTCATCCACTTCTCTATATTCAGATAGGCATAAGCAAATGCAAGGAGTTATTTTTTGTTTACCTTTTACAAAGAATAGGGGTGTTCCATACATATCAGTCTGAAATTACAATCAATATGCATGGGTATTTTTTTGATTTTTAATTTTTACATTGTCTTGTAATTGGAAGAAAATTGATTTACAATGTTATGTTGGTATCTGCTATACAACATGAATCAGTCATACTTATACATATATCACCTTCCTCTTGAGCCTTCCTCCTCTCCCCTGATCCCACCCATCTAGGTCATCAAAGAGCACCAGTCAGGGCTCCTTGTGGTCTATAGCAACTTCTCACCAGGTATCCATTTTACACATGATACTGTATATATGTCAATGCTACATTCTCCTTTCTTCCCATTTTCTCCTTCATTCACTATATCCACAAATCCATTCTCTACATCAGGTGCCATTCCTGCCCTGCAAATAGGTTCATCAATACCATTTTTCTAGATTTCATATATATATAATATGCATTAATATATGATATTTGTTTTCTTTTTCTGACATGTCACTCCGTATGACAGACTCTAGGTTCATCCATCTCACTACAATAGACTCAGTTTCATTTCTTTTATGGCTGAGTAGTATTCCATTGTATATATGTACATCTTCTTTATCCATTCATCTGTGGTTGGACATCTAGGTTGCTTCCATGTCTCGGCTATTGCAACTAGTGCGCTGATGAATGTTGGTATACATATGTCTTTTTGAATTATGGTTTTCTCAGGGAATATGCCCAATAGTAGAATTGCTGGGTCATATGGCAGTTGTATCCTAGTTTCTGAAGGAACTTCCATGCTGTTCTCCATAGTTGTAGATAGAATTTAAAAAATTACATCATTGACTTGAATCCACCATGAGTGTACATGTATGGCAAAACCAATTCAATATTGTAAAGTAAAATTAAAAAAAAGAAGAAAAATAAATTACATCATACCACTATCCACAAACATCCCACTTTATCCATTATTAAAAAACAGATGAGCCCAAACCACATTTTATAAAAGTCTTCAAGCACTGAGACCACAAAAAAACCTAAAGAAAACATATTCTGGAGTGAGTAGATTCCAATGTAGTTAGCAGAAATTGGAAGCGCATGGAACATTTATTACATTCGTCCATAAAATGGCTGCAGGTTGTCCTGATGTTGATGGAGGTGTTCTCCTAGTGTATGAGAAACCAGGGGTCTACTTCAGACTGTATATGTGAAGCAGTAGAGTGGAATCTGCAGAAGTATCCAGAGGACAGGAAGTTCTACCCATATACTAGCTGTGTCCAGGAAATTTTTTGTTGAGATCATGGTGGTGTGATGAATTTGGGGATATGCTGGAAAGCAGATAGACAAGCCCTGAGTCTTGAATTGTTTGGAGGACAAAGTCCTTACAGAGAATGAGGATTGTGTGGTGGGCAGTATCTGAGATGCTCCCAATGTCCCAACTCTTGGTTTTCATTGCTTTGTGTATTTCCCTTCCCTCTAAGTGTGACATGTACATAGAGACCCACTTCTTCAAACAATGAGAATGTGGAAGAATGTTGGGAAGTCAATTCTGAGAAGAGAGTAAAATAATCTGGCTTTCTTCTTGCTGCATCTCTCTCTTGTTTTATTGATAGTTCACACTAATAAAACCCAACTGCCCCACCAGGCAAGGAGGTCAAGTATCAAGGAACTGAAGGAATTCTTTGGACAATATTGTGTGAACAGGTGAATCCTGTCAACAGGTTCATGAATGTGCTAGAAAGTGGACATCTGCTGATTCAATCTTGAGATGCCTGCAGCCCTGGCTATCACCTTGAATGCAACCTTTTGGGAGGCACACAGAAAAAGAAATATTTAAAGTATCAGTAACAAAATAATAAGTAAAGATCAATAGTTTTCTAATATGCCAATGTAATTCATTTAGAGAAAAAACAGAGCTGAAGATTCATTCAAATTAGCAAAAAAGTGATGTCCACCATTTCTAATACCAGCTGAGCCAGGGTGGGGAAAGGAAAATAAGTTATCCTTAGAAACAAATATTAACTGTGAAAATGGAAAGTGTATCATATCCTTATGAATCTAATGCTCCATAGACCTCATGATTGATACAATCAATTTGCAGATATCAAGACCATACTGAGTGTTTAGATTGTGAAATAAAGTCTGAATTTTATGTTAAGAACCTGCAAATTAGAAGTAAGAAGCAAGAGTACAGGTGAATTTCCTTCTGAGGTGAAGAGGGACTGAGTCCCTGCCCAGGACTTTCACTTTTCTCCTTTTTCTTTTCTGTTAATATTAACAAGTCCCCAGAGATAGAGACAACACTGTCCCACTGGCTAGTGATGAGCTTTGGGCATTGAGCCCTAAGGTCAAATCATTTTAAATAATTGGCCTGTGCCTAGAGCTCTTTAGTTTGCCAGTTTTAATATTGTGACTCTACACCTACATCTTTATCCTTTGCAGGAGCCTGCATGATAAGGTTCAGCCTGATTCTGTCTTCCTGCCCATCCTGAGGAGGGACCCTGAGACTTCATCACACACCAGGCAGGAGAGGGTCAGTGAGTCTGTGCTCCTTGGTCATGTTCTAGCAGAGATGCAGCCCAGCCCAGTAAGTGCAGAGGGGAATGTGTAGAATGTTATTGTCTCTACAGAGATTCTATAGTTTATCCCTAGTAGCCCAAGCATACTCAAAAGATGAGTAATTCCCTTTTATTTATACATCATCATATGTAAAATAAATAGCAAGTGAGAATTTGATATGTGACACAGGGAACTGAACCCA